CCCAGATTTCCATAATGTTAATACCTTATATCACCATAGTAACATGATCGAAACCAGGAAATTAACATTGGTATAATACTATACTAAATTGCAAATTCTAATTGTACCAGTTTTTCCAATAATGTCCTTTTCCAAGAAACCGTATAGGATTTCACATTGGTGTATTAATTACATCTCGTTAATCCAATCTGTGACAGATCCTGAGTCTTACCTTGTGTTTCATGACCTTGGCACTTTTGATGAGGACTGGTCAGTTATTTTGTAGAGTGTCTCTTAATTTGGGTTTGTCTGATACTTTCCCATGATCAAAATGAATTTTTGTATTTTTGGCAAGATTACCACAATAGAGGTGTTATGGCCCTCTTGGTGCATCATATCAGCGGGTTACATGATGTCGCTTAGGTTATTAGCTTTGAACCCCCAGTTAAGGTGACATATGCTAGTTTTTATTGTTACAAAGTTAAAATTTTTCCCATTGTAGTTAATAAATAAGGAAAATACATTGAGACTCTAAATATTCACTTCTTGAGCTTTCTCCCTCTGATTTTAGCATCCATCTATGGATTTTGCCTGTAGCGATGATTACCATAGTATTTGCCTGCTGATGATTTTGTATTTTCCTCATTACATCTACATTTTTTTTAAATGTTTTTTAACATTTATTCATTTTTGACAGAGAGAGGCAGAGTGAGAGCGGGGGAGGGGCAGAGAGAGAGGGAGACACAGAATCCAAAGCAGGCTCCAGGCTCCAAGTTCCGGGCTCCGGGCTGTCAGCACAGAGCCCGAGGCAGGGCTTGAACTCAAGGACCTTGAGATCATGACCTGAGCCGAAGTCGGAAGCCCAACCAAATGAGCCACCCAGGCGCCCCATTCCTTCTACATTTGTAAATTGGATTTCTTCTGTAAGGAAAAGCTGTTTTCCTTCTCTTCTTATGTGTTTATTCATTTGTTTATGTCAGTGTGTACTCCTGGGCATTACTTTTATTCTAAGAGTTATAATTCAAACTATTATTATTTATTTTTATTTGCTCAAATTGTTCCAGTTTAGGTTTTTGGAAACTCTTTTAGATGTTTTTTTTAAGTGTTTATTTTATTAATTTTGAGAGGGAGAGTGAGCATGTATGGCACAAGCAGGGAAGGGGCAGAGAGAGAGGGAGAGGGAATCCCAAGCAAGATATGGGGCTTGATCTCAACAAACCGTGGGAAATCATGACCTGAACTGAAATCAAGAGTCAGATGCTCAACCGACTGAGACACCCAGGCGCCCTGGTCTTTGGAAATTCTTTTAGATTGGCTTCTGTTACCTCTGGAAAAGCCCCCATCCTTTTTCACGTATGTTCTTATTTTTTGGCACCACAGGATGTTCCAGGCCCACCTTGTATTTTCCCTGCCCCAACCCTGGATTCAAACACAGAAACCAGGAGCAGTGGTACCAGAGAACATATTTAGAAGTCAAGATCTGGGCACTAGGTGTACTCATTGCTACTTTGTATCTGTGCTTCTAGGCCCTCCTATCTAGGATACACCCCCCCCCCCCATATTTATTTCTATATGTATCTATCTATATTTGAAAATCCTTGACTTCATACCAATCCTCTGATTCCAGTCCAACACATCCCTTTTTCTTATTTATACCTTCTTTTCCTAACAGTGAGAAACCTGGCTTTCATGTACACTATACTTATTTGTTTAGTTCTAGTGTACACATAAAGTAGTTTTGGAATTGCTTAAGAATTCTGAAATGGATTTACTAGAGTATGTTTCTTTATAATTCTTTTTACCTTTAACCCTACAGTATCCAATGAAAATACCTCTTTCCATAGTTATTTAGGTAGGTTATTTTCTTCCACACTTCTTTTTGTGGTTATTTGTTTGTAATATCATTAGGTTGATTCGTTACTGTTTGTTCCACTTGGGGGTCCCTCCGTATTCTGGTTGATTTTATTTGTGGTTTTTTTGGTACCTGAAACTTACTGTAGTTTTAACAGACCAAACTACATAAAAAGGCATATACTCAAAGGAGTGTTGCTCCCTTCTCATTCCTGCCACCCGGTTCCGAAATCTCCCTTTTTCCTACCCCCTTTCCCACTCATCTATCTCCTTTAGATAACCAATCTCTTTAGTTACTGGCTTACCTTTCCTGTATTTTTTTTTTAAACGTTTATTTATTTTTGAGAGACATAAAGAGACAGAGTGCAAGCAGGGGAGGGGCAGAGAGAGAGTGGGGGAGACACAGAATCTGAAGCAGGCTCTAGGCTCCGAGCTGTCAGCACAGAGCCCGACTTGGGCCTCGAACTCACAAATTGTGAGGTCATGACCTGAGCCTAAGTCGGACACTCAACCAACCACCTGAGCCACCCAGGTTTCCTGTATTTCTTTTGCACAAACGAGCATGTATGTCTATGTTTTCTTTTTCTCTTTTTACTTTTTTCAAAGAGAGAGAGCATGTGTGTGAGCAGGGGAGGGACAGAGGGAGAGGGAGAGAGAGAATCTTATGCAGGCAGGCTCCATGCTCAGTGCAGAGCCCAATATGGGACTCGATCTCATGACCCTGAGACCATGACCTGAGCCAAAACCAAGAGTCAGATGCTTAACCAGCTAAGCCACCCAAGGCTCCCCTGTGTCTTTATTTTCTTATTATACTTCTTTCTTATGTGAAGTGTAGAAAGGTAGCGTACCATAGGTATTTTTTGAGCTTTTTTTCCTCTTAACAGTATATACTGGAAATTACTACAAATCAGTCCTAGCGATCTTCTTTTTTTATATAACTATATAGTACTCCACTATGTGGATGTACCATAGTTTAATAAACACCTACTTATGAACATTTTGACTGTTTCCAGTAATTTTTAGTTATAAGTATTGCTATAGTGATTACCTAGTGGTATGTGCATTTTTGAAGTGTTTTAGAAGTGGGATTTCTGCATCCACAGCTAAGTGCATATGTAATTTTGTTAAATATTACCATGTTTCCCTGCAGAAAATTGTACCAGTTTGTGGTCTCAACAGCAGTGTGTGAGACTACCTATTTTCCCAGAGCTGTGCCAACAAAATGTTGGCATATTTAAAACAAACTTTTTGCCAGTCTGATAGGTGATAAATGGTATATTGGTGGAGTTTTAATTTTCATTTTAAAAATTATAAATGAGTTGGATCACTTCCTCATGTCAAGATTTATTTTGATGACTTTGTGAATTGTAAGTTTACGTCTCTCACATATTTCCGCTAGAATCTCAGGTCCTTCACCCTTTACTTTTTAAGTGTTCTTCTACATTAGTGATGTTAGCTCTTTGTAGTATATGTTGTGCATGTTTTCTTCCAGTTTGTCAGTTGTCTTTTGATTTTGTTTGATGTTTTTTGCTATGTAAAAATTTTTATTTCATGTAGTCAGATTTATGGATTTTTTTCCTTAGAATTATGACTTAACTGGTATTTTACAAATATTCATTTCAGCTAATATTTACTGAGCTTTTCAAGTACCAAACGAGTACTAGGCACTTCATATCAAGTTAAAATTAAGTAATATGGGGAAAATTGGAAATAAGCTGAGTTTTAAAGAAGACTTGTGGTTAGAAGAATTATACTATATCTATAAAATAAAATACTGTGTAACAAAGCTTGTTTTCAAGAATATTTGGTGAAATGAAAAGATACTTATGTTGTTAAGTTTTAAGGTTTTTTTTTTAATGTTTGTTTATTTTTGGGAGAGAGAGAGATTGGGAGCGTGTGAGCAATATCAGGGGAGGGGCAGAGAGAGAGGGAAACACAGAATCCAAAGCGGGATCCAGGCTCTGAGCTGTCAGCACAGAGCCCGATGAGGGGCTCCAACTCATAGACTGCGAGATCATGACCCAAGCCAAAGTTGGACACTTAGCTGACTGAGCCACCCAGGCGCCCCTGATGTTAGGTTTTAAAAAGCTGCCTCCAAACTACCTTTGGTATGGTACAGTTTTTCAGAGAAAATACTACTTGTAAAAAAAATATATATATAAATGGAAGTACTCTAAAATGTGGTTATCTCTAGGCATTAAACTATGTATGAGTTTTATTTTCTTCATATTTGGTATAACTTTGGGCAGTTATCTAACCTCTCTGCCTTAATTTCCTCATCTTTCAAATGGGCATAATATGTAGTAACTATCTTATATGTGTTTTCGGTATATGGTAAGTATTTTACAAGGTAATGCACTTGAAACAGTGCCTGGCCTACAGTAAGCTTTCCCTGCTAGCTGATATTTTATAATTTCTCTACTTTAGCCACAGATTATTGTTCTTACAAGAAATGTTTTTTTAACATTGTGTTCCATAATAAATGTAAAGATATGTGTTTATATGCCAAGTTTGAAAGTAATAAATGCTCATTGTAGAAAATTTGAAAAATATAGAACAGCATGAAGAAGAAAAGTACTACCAAATATATAATGTGATTATAAATGGCAGCTTATGAACTCTCCATTTGCCAGGAATCTTAACTATATTTTAATTCTTTTTTTAACGTTTGTTTTATTTTTGAGAGCACGAGCAGGGGATGGGCAGAGAGAGGGAGACACAGAATCTGAAGCAGGTTCCAGGCTTCTAGCTGTCAGCACAGAGCCTGACTCAGGGCTCAAACTCACAAACCATGAGAGCATGACCTGAGCCGAAGTCAGACTCTTGACCTATTGAATCACCCAGGCACCCCTTAACTATATTTTAAAACTTGAAGTGAAGAAATGATACATTTATAATTTTTAGATACTCTGAAAATTTCCTTTGTATCAAGTTCAGGAGAAATCAGCAGGTTGTTTGCCTTTTTAAAAAAAATTGTCTAAATATAAATAACACGACTTAAAAAGGTGTCATGATCTGGTTTATATACAGCCTTATCAAGATGAGATCTGAAAATACAAGCCAGAATGCTGCTTGAGTCTTATCCCTTTCTTTCAAAGTTACTGCACTTCAAATATATGTTAAAGGTGTCTTGATAACTAACGCTTACATTATTTATATATCCTTCCAAGCAGCTCTTCTCCAGGTGTGAGAAAAGAACCTGATGTGCCCGTGTTCCTTGCAAATTCTGTGCCAGCAGAGAGTATAAGCATGTGCTTACAGAGTGGACCAACAGAGGGTGCTAGTAACAACCCTGTAACATCAGGTGAACCCAAAACTGAGCAAGCGATACAACCCTTGCCTCCTCAACCATCAGACAGGCAGAAAATATACCAGGATTTATTGGTAAGAAATGTAATGCATTTCATTTTTTCTGAGATGATTATTTAGTTTAAAGTAGACTAGTTAAGCCTTTCCTGTCTTTAAACTGATTGGGACTTTGATATAAAAAGATTTCCCCAAATTAATGATACATAATTTATTTCCTTTAGCTTTTCGTGATTATGATAACCTAAATTCAGTATAAGCATGCCAGTCATCAGATACTTAGATAGGTTGGGGGGGGGGTGGAACCTGATTTTAAAACAGAAGTGTTGATATTATGCCAAATTCAAACTAAGCTAGTACCAGAAAAAACAAGCAACAATTTGCAGGAAGTTTGAAAGTTGAAAAGTAGGAGAATATTGATGATAATATTTACTGAGTTCAGGTAAGCAGATTTTTATAGAATATTTAGCTTAGTCTAAGAAATAAACTAAGTAAAGGGAATAATATAAAGATGAATATGGTAGTCTCTGCTCGTGAGAATCTAGGGGAAATAGCACATGGATACTAGTAGCAAGCAATTATAGGACAGGCCGAGAAGTGCTATAAACAAAGGCAGCAGCATGGGGCGCCTGGGTGGCGCAGTCGGTTAAGCGTCCGACTTCAGCCAGGCACACATCTCACATCCTGTGATGTTCGGAATGCTTGTAGGCTCTGCAGCTGATGGCTCAGAGCCTGGAGCTCTGCTTCCGATTCTCACTTTCTCTCTCTGCCCTTCACCATGCTCTGCCCTCTCTGTCCCAAAAATAAATAAACGTTGAAAAAAAAAAAAAAAAAAAAAAACAAAGGCAGCATGGACTAAAAAGGGATAATTCTGGTTGGAGGAAATAGTCACCTAGTCGTCTTGGAAAAGTTGGAATATAAACTGAGACTTGAAGGTTGAATGACCCTGGCTGTCACTTCCATCCAAACTGTAGACTTTGGAACACTAGATGTCTCCATGCTTCATAGGGCCCTAAGTACCCATCAATGAACACATAATTGTTATTTGCCTGCGGGGTCCTGTACTGGTGCTAGCAGCTGTGGCTCAGCAAATGAAATGTACTCTAATGCCAGGAAGGCAGAGATAGTATCACAGGTCATTCTCATTCAAAGGGAGAAAGGAGAAGAGTCAGATTCTGAACATAAAGATCTAATTTATAACTCTGAAACATTACCATTTTCCTTTCTTGAGAGACAGAGTGTGTGTGTGCACAAGTGAGCGAGGGGCATAGAGAGTGGGGGGGAGGGAGAAGCAGGGCTTACCCGAAGTGGGGCTCGTGTTCACCCAAAGTGGGGCTTGAGCTCACCCAATGCAGGACTTGAACTCACAAACCGTGAGATCATGACGTGAGCCAAAATCAGATGTTTAACCAGCTGAACCATCCAGGTGCCCGAAACATTACCATTTTTCAAACGAAAGCATGATTTAGAACTTTAATTTATAGCTACTATAAACCCTTGAAAACACTTGAAATATTACTGAAATGATTTTAAATTTGGTTTTAAAATGAACAAGTTCTGAACAGACGTTCTAAATTTCCTCAGAGCCTGATGAAATCCTTTGTTAAGATGGGCTTCCTTTATAAAAACCCCATAGTATAAAAAATTTCCAAATATATTTGCTTCTTTATAGAATTTGGCAAGATATTATTTCGCTTTTCCCTGGCCTTGCTTATGCTGCTATTTACACTTTTGTTTCCTAAGATTGTTAATAGTGATTTTTCAAATACATTTTTTTTCATCAGAGTCAAGTGAACCACCTACTGAATAGCTCCTCCAAAGAAACTGAGCAGCCGTCCACCAAAGCAGTAATTATCAGCCATGAATGTACCAGAACACAAAATGTTTACCATACAAAGAAAAAAAAACGTGATTCAGGGCCAGCAGACAAAGATTGTGTTCTTAATGCAACCCTTAAACAACTAAGAAACCTTGGAGTAAAAATTGATTCTCCCACTAAAGTGAATAAAAATGCACATAAAGTGGATCATGCCAGGTAACTTTAAAATTTGTTTTAAAAGATCAAACAAAATTGTGGATGTATTGCAGCAGTCTCATGAGAAAAAGTATAAGCTCGCCACTCCATTCAATTGATGCATCATGAATTCAGGGCCTACTATGTGTGTGATGACTAAGAGATCATCTCTACCCTTTAGGGTCTTCATTTTAGTAGGAGAGTAGGTTTTATATACATAAATCCCACCTGGGGGAAGATGCCAACAAAATGCTCTGGAAGGCTTGGAGAAAGAAATGGACTTTACTCATTGTTGGTGTCTAGAAGGCCTTCCTGGAGGTGCTAGGGTCTGCACCACCTACTGGACGTTCGGTTATGCAGTTGTATCGACTAAAAGGCAAAAACATTCCTTTCCCTAGAAATGGGTATTCAACAGTCTAGTCATACAAACCTTACTTATTGCTTACCGATTACAATTGGCCATATTTTTCTGTTCAGATTCTTCTTCATCAAAGATGATCTTTATCACATAATTTTTAAAAGGATAAAAATCTGAAAATTGTATTATTAAGGTTAGCCTGTTTTCTGTTCATTATTTTTGTTTCATAGTTGCAAAAGTAGCATGGTCTCATGTTTTAAGAAAATATTTTTTTTTTTTTTTTTAATTTTTTTTTTAACGTTTATTTATTTTTTTGGGACAGAGAGAGACAGAGCATGAACGGGGGAGGGGCAGAGAGAGAGGGAGACACAGAATCAGAAACAGGCTCCAGGCTCTGAGCCATCAGCCCAGAGCCCGACGCGGGGCTCGAACTCATGGACCGCGAGATCGTGACCTGGCTGAAGTCGGACGCTTAACCGACTGCGCCACCCAGGCGCCCCAGAAAATATTAAATAAAAAAGAGAAAATATTAAATAATACAAAGAATATCAGATAAAATGCAAAAGCTCCCACTCCCCAAATTCCTCAGTTTGACTCCTCTTAACTGTTTCTTTTGCGTTCTGCAAAAATGTTGTGCATATTCAGGTGTATATGTGTGTGAAGAGTGTTCCAATCTGTTTTTGTTTTGTTTGCTTAACATTATGTCTTAGATACTTTTCTTTATAGGTATATGTAGTTCTTTCTCATGCATTTAAACAGCTGCATAATACTCTGTTGTACACAGAATATAGTGAACCTGACCTCTGTTAATGGACTTAGACTGAATCTCTTATTTCTTATCTCAAACAATGCTAAGTAAACATCTTTCTACAGGAGCTGATACAAATATCTTTGTAGGATCAACTCTTAGAAGTAGGCAGGATCAGAGGATATACGCATTTAAAGTTTTGGTAGTTGTTGCCATTGCCCACCAAATGAGTTGTACCAGTTTATGGTCCTACCAACAGTATAAGAGAGTAAGGCTAGCATTTTTGAAGGTTTTATCTCAATACTGTGAGACAGAGGCTGTATAACGTCTGTTGGAATATACAAATTATCCTGCTATCTGTGGAACACTGTGTTTTGGTGTGGTGCCTTTGGGGAGTAGTTTTTAGGTAATTATTTCTTCGTACTGGTTACCCAGTTTTAATGTCTTTACAGTAAAACAGTGGAATTAATAAATTTTCAGCATATAATGAACTTGATTTGTTTTTTAGATGCTTAGAATGAAATGGAAAGTAGAGCCTTTTGATTTACCATTGTGGGGTAGTCATTGTTTTATCAAGATTGTTCTGTTCTTCATTTACATAACAATTTACATTGTAAATCTATACTATGAAAATTATATATGCTCAGGGTTGGCATTTTAGAACATGAAGAGAATGTCATTTGAACTAATAACATCCAAAGAAAATCAGTTTTTTAAGAAACAGTTTTAGGGGCACCTGGGTGGCCCAGCTGGTTGAGTGTCTGACTCTTGATTTCAGCTCAGGTCATGATCCCAGGGTTCAGAAGGTCAAGCCCCGTATCGGGCCCCACACTGAGCATGGAGCCTGCTTTAGATTCTCTCCCTCCCTCTCCTTCTGTTCCTCTCCTACT